TACATAACTGAAATAGACTAGCTAAGAATAATTATATAACATTTAGGAACCAATATCATCAAATTTATAAACTGCTAATTTCATTCTTTTCCAGATTTAACCCCAATACTGGAGGAACTGACAGAAATAAAATACCATATGAGGGAAACCAAAGCTGTTCTATCTAGAATGGAACATTTCTTAAATAGTTCATCGAATAATCCTACAAATGTTACCATACCACAAACTTTAAATGCCATTTTGGATTTACTTCCTTGCGAGACCAAGGAACAGTTGGAGAAAGTAGATTCATTAATCCATGAATCTCGTTATATGAAAGAATTGGTAAGTTTATTTATTATGGTTCTACAACTAAAAAGCAACTTTGACATAAAATTATGTTGAAAAAATATCCTTCACACCAATGGGAGACCACTGCAATATGTAGTGTACTTTTATAATATATATTTTTTTCTCATGGCAATATTAATTTTCAGGTAAACTATCTTTATTTAGCCGGAGGAGACAATCCTCATAAAAGTGCTTACTTGGCAATGCAGAAGCTTTTTGCTAGGCAACTGGCTGTATACTACAGTGGTCAAGGAAAAAAAAAGAAAATTCCTTTTTGCAATATGAAATTGTATGAAGCTGTTTTTGGTTAGTATAGTTTTTTTTATTAAATAAATATATTTTTTACATAATCAGAATAATATAACGTAATTTTTTGTTGTAGACTTTTTATTTTTCAATTTTATTTAATTTTTATGGAAGATGATTCACATGTCTACATTTTTCCGTTTAAATTTCAGGTGCAATTAGAAGGAGGCATCCCAACGTTACTGATGAAGGAATAAAAAAATCAGTCTCTCTATTCTTGGCCACTGCCAAGTCGAGATTAACATCAAAGAAAAATAATGGAGTAGTAGTAGAGTAAGTGTTTATATATATTTAGATTTTATAAACTTAAAAAAAATACATGGTTTATATAAATATTGTGATTTTTATTTGTTGTTTTATTTTTAGTGAAATGGATTTGCCAGATGAAACAGATCAGTTTTAGAGGTTGATTTTTAATATATATATATATATATATATATATATATATATATATATATATATATATATATATATATATATGTTTCTTTTAAAAATAAACAATTTATTGTTTTTTTATGAATTTCTATAAACCTCCCATTCTGAAAATGTCTTTAAAACATTGGTGAAAAACGGTCGGACTCGTCAATTTCTATTTTATTTGTATTTTTTTATAATATCAGAAATGTGTTTACCCGTGCACCCCCTTCACTTGACAGATAGCTCATCGAATTTTTAAATATATAGCAAAGTCTGATAGGACCGACCTTGTTATTTAAAAAAAATTGAGGGGTATGGCTGTCAACTGGTGGAGTTTGAAAGGGGAGGCAAATTTTTATGTTATAAAACGACTCCATCAAAATAAACATTGATGGGTCCAAGCGTTTCTAACCTTTATTCCCAAATAAAGGGAATTTTTAAAATACATAACAAAATATTTCATATATATTTTTTTACAAATATTTATTCAATATTTTTTACTAATATTTTATAAATATAATATAGAATATATTTAGAGAATATTTAAGAATCTGTCGCTACAAATGTTTAAAAAACATTTTTTAAAAATATTTAAACAATATTTAATGCTATCTGGGTCTTCGACAACCGTTTTTCACAAATCAGTTGAAATTAAAGACAACACGTTTTCTGAAGGTTTAAATAACCCAACAAATAATTATAATAACTGTATTTTCAATAATAACAAATAGAATAAGCTAAAAATTAAAAATAGTAATATTAATTATTTTAATAATTATAATTTTGTATTGAGACTAATAAATAATACTCATGTTTGTTTAAAGTTATTATTATAAATAAAGTTTTGCATAATAGAACAGATGGACCTTATTTTTTTATAATTCAAGTGTTATAATTGCAGGTACAAAGTATCTAACTAAAATAGTGAAAATAATAATGTTTTACCGATTTTAGTTTAATAAATTTAGTAAAAATTGTTTCAAACAAGTTTATTTTACAGTTATAACCTAAGTTATGTTCACTAAAATTGGTGGAACATTGTTTTCTTCCATTATTCAAGATAATAATTGTAATTACAAAGTATCTAAATAAAATTGTAAAAATAATAATGTTCCACCGATTTTAGTTTAATAAAATTAGTAAAATTTATTAAAATAAATGTATTTTACAGTTATAACCTAAGTTATATTCACTAAAAAGTTAAAAAATATACATTATGCAAACATTGTGAACAACTCTGTGATCTCAAAGTGTATCACACAAATTTAAAATATTTGTCGTACCTCATTGATAAATGTAGTTTGGAGTGCAGTTTACAAAATCCTGAGGAAAATCTATTTAGTACAATACAGAAGAATGTACTCAATGTGTCTACAAAGTTTTCTCGGATTTGTAAAGTTAATTTTAACCGAATTGTTTCAAAATATTATATTTATTTACTTAAGCATAGACATTTAGTTAATACGAATGTCCTTTCTTACTCACCACTGAAGAAAGAAGATTTTTTAATTGATTTTGAAAAACATTTAATAGATGTAATTAATAATAAAGAAATTTAAAAAAAAAAAAAACCAAAAGAAGTAGTAATTGTTTAATTTTGATTTGCACAAAAAGTAAACAAAAAGTAAACAAAAAGTCTTATATGAATCAAGCCCATTACAAGTGTCATTATTTTGACATAAAAATGTCCACTTATTAATTTCGTCCAGGGTACCCTGGAGGATGAAAATTTCCGGAAATTTTTTGGGTTACCATGGTAACCAAACAAAAAATAGACTCTGATTGGCTTAAAAATGGTGGTGTGAAATTTTCACTATTATTACTGTCACTGTCCATTTTATTATTTATAATTTTCAAAAATATCAAAATAAATTAATTATCAAGATTTGAGATGTCAATATTTTAAATCGGGTAACTTGATTTGATTTTTTTGTATTCATTTTTATATATAGGCAACCAACATTCCAGAAGTTATAAATCATTGTTTTTTCTAAATTAACTAATTTTTTTAGTATTGGACGAATTATTTTGTTAAATAGGTATGTCTTTAAAATATATTATTTTTTTTTATTCGCACTAAAGGTTATACGTCAATTTATTCGATGTACTAAACACTGTGGAATTACCGTGTGGAATATTTCCACACTAGTTATGAATGTGTACAGAATTGCCCACTTTAATGCTTACAAAAACAATTCGGAATATGTGATTTTTTGTAGTGATCATCGAAAAAGATAGTTTCTGACCCAGTTCAATACCTTGCCATTTACTATATACATCTCTAATTTTCTAAGTAGGATTTCCATTTAAAAAGTGTGTTGTAAGTCTAAGAATACTGCAATAGCAGTATACATACCTGTACTCATTATTTTCCCATAAAGTGACGGTTAGCTAAATGGTTGATTCACACGAATGTTGAAATCTAAAACCAGACTGGTTGATGAAAAGTAGTTTTTTCTCAGTAAAGTAGTCCCGCCGTTGGTTGTAAACTTCCCATTCTAAAAGTTTCTCAGCACAAGGTAAGGTGTTGATTGGTCGAAATTCAATACTCTAGAGTTCGCTATCTTTAGGCGCTTGTAGAATGGTTTATACTGCATATGTTCGGTCGATTTTGGAGTACAACTCTACTATATGGTGTCCATTTTACAGCAACTCTACAAAAAGAATTGAAAATGTTCAAAATAAAATATCTACGATATTGTGCTTTTAAACTTGGTCTAGCAATAGGTATATATAATTATTCTAAAATTCTAGACTTAATAAATCTCCCAACCTTTGCAAATTCAAGAATCTATAATCCATAAGATCATAGCTCTAGAATTCAAGTCTATTAAAATAGTTTGACCATGTGAAAACAATCAAATATGTATAACTATCTGCTTTAAAAAAGTGCAGATTTAGTCAGCACCTCGTTTTTAGACCACCCTGTATATTTAAGAATAATTGTTAAAATTGGACATACAACTTTTATATTAAAAATTTCTTTGTATATCCAATAATAAATTAATTAACCTTCGTAGAGGTTGAATTTATTTCACTCCTACAAAATCCTGGTTTTCATACGGAAAACCTTGGACTTTTAAGTTGTTTTTCATATCAAATTAAAAGTCAATTTATTATTTGATCATTGTGAGTGATATCCAGAGTGATAAATATAGAAAATGGGCAAATCTTTTAAGTGCTGTCAGAACAAAATATTTGAAAATTATATATGTATCAGATGTATAAATATTTTTCATCAGAGATGTCTCGAGAGAATGAAAAATGTTAAAATTTTGAAGAGGTATAAGGTGATCTGTTCTATCGAGTGTGGTGAAAAAGATGATAGATGTGCCGGAGTTGAAAATAATCCTGAAGAGTTATTGAAAGAGCTAAATGAACTGTTAGGAAATAAAGATATAGAAATAGGCAACTTAAAAAAATCTTATGCAAATTTGGATAAAGAAACCTACAAAAACGAGGTCTGAAATCGACACTTTGTTATCGAAAAAACCAAATGACCACAAGTGTGTTTGACTTAAAGCCTTTCAAAAAATGTATTAAATAAACGGGAAGTGCAAAGTACTTCTTCGAAAACATATTAATATTAGGCGACGAAGCTGCTATTAACTTAAATAAATATGTGAGACGGTCTACTGGATTCAAAAGTTTCAACATTCAATCTATTATTAAACCAGGAGGGAATTTTGACAATGTACTGGAGAATGTAGCTGAATTAGTAAAAACATTTTCATTATCCAATTTTGTGATTGTGGTAGCAGGTGCTAATGATTTTGACATGTCCAGGGTCCCTAAATTCAGAAATATTTGTTCGAAACTCAAACTATGTACCCACACTAACTTTATAATGGTATCTTTCCCAATTTTTTGAGAAGACACAGTGACAAAAATTTAATTTGAAATTAGACCATTTTCTGGATAAGTTGGACAATTATACAGAAGGTAAAATGTTATATGTAAATATCAATTCCGAGCAAGGTGCCAAACTAAAACTGTCTAATATCATACGAAAAATTAGTGTAGCAATAAGTAATAGCAAAAATGTTAGTGAAAATTTAAAATTTATTAACACTGTGAAATCTAAAAATGCCAACTGTAACATGTATACTAACTTGAGCTCTACAGATTTGACAGGTTTAAATAATTTTACTGTTCTTCCTATTAATAATAGTAACTTGGGCTCTATAGATTTGACAGATTTAAATAATTTCACTCTTCTTCCTTTTGATAATAGTAACTTGGGTTCCATAGATTTGAAAGGTTTGAATAATTTAACTGTTCCTCCTTTTGATAACGTATCTATCACACCCACAGTTAATAAGGATTTTCCCACAAAGTCTCAAACTCAAGATCCAAATTAAAAAGTACAATAAATATATTATATTTAAATGCTAAGAGCTTGGTGGCCCACATTGATGAAATCTCTAATATGTGTTGTCAAAAAAAACCAAGTTTAGTATGTGTTTCTGAAACTTGCTTGACTGAGGATATTTATGATTCAGAAATAGACATTGACGGATACAAAAATTATAGAGTTGACAGTGAAAGTAGACACACAGGGGGTGCTTTAATTTATGTACACAGTGAACTGAAGGTTTTAAAATATTTTAAATTTTGTATTTCAAAAATTTGTTGGATTGTTTCTGTGATGGTAATACTAGGAAACAAAATTAATTGTATCTTTATATAGGTCACCAAGCAGTAGCTGTATACATTTTTTAGATTGTTTTAGCACTTGGGCTGAAGAAAATTTATGTGATAATTCTCAAATAGTTGTTTCTGGAGATTTTAATATTGACCTGTTAACTAAAAACACAGTGCGAAATTAAGTGATATTTTGATTGATACTGGATTAAAAAATATTGTTACAGAATGCACAAGACCAAATAGAAGTGGTGGAGGTACACTAATAGATTTAGTGATAACAAATAATGACTCTGTTTCAGCCGAGGTTATCAAAACACCAAGAATTTCAGATCATTTTATGCGCTTTAAACAAATGTGCTATTAAATAGTGATGGGCGATCTGTTTTTGAAATTGAAAGCAGAGGTAAGGACTTAAATTTTGATTTAATTAATAACAAACTTTCAACATTAGCACGGAACTATCATATTTATGACATTAATGCAAAATATGATAATTTTGTAACAAATATTTTAAAGGTATTAGATTCTGTAGCGCCAAAAAAACAAATAAAAATATTTTCTAAATACAAAAGCTGCCACAAGGTACAGAGACCTTGCATATAAAAATTATTCACAAGAAAAAATAGAAAATAATTAGAATGAATACAAAATGCATAGAAATAGGGCCGTTAACATAATTAGAACAGAAAAAAGTAAACACATATAGAAAAATATTTACGAAAGTAGGGGAAATTCAAAGGAAATGTGGAAATATCTTGAATGTCTGATTCCAAAAAATAATAAGTAGAATAACTTAATTGAACTTGAACTAGAAAATAATGTTATTATAAAAAATATTTTTGACATGCCAAATGCTCTTAATAAATTTTACATAGACAGTATCCAATCGATTGCTAGTATGATTGATCATACAATACCAGATTATCAAATTTTAGACAGACACAATGGACATTTTCTTGGAAAATTTCAAGTATGTACGGTGGATTCTTTAAGAGAATTTTTTTTGCAATGAAAAATAAAAGTAGCACAGATTACATTAACATTAATATTTTAAAAAACTGTTTTCCCAACCTCTCAGACCACTTTTAAATTTGATAAATTCGTCATTAGAAATTTCAAAAATACCTAATGCTCTAAAAATTGCAATGGTAGTGCCTGTTCCAAAGACAAAAAAACGCAAATAAAGCTACAGATTTAAGGTCTATTAGTAAGTTAAGTTGTATCGAAAAAATCATTGTGAAGGTCGTTAATGAACAAATTGTTAATTTTTTAGAACAAAAAACTTATTACTAGAATACAATCGGGCTTCAGAAGCAAACATAATTGTGAATCAGATATCCAGTGTTTTATATAATTGGAAATATACATTTGATAAAAACTATCTAACATTGGCAGTTTTTATAGATCTTCAAAGGACATTCGAGACCGTTGGATAAAAAAATTTAAAAGTATGGGTATAGTAGAGCAAGCATCAGTGGCGTAGCTACACCCCGCAAGCCCCCGAGATGCGGGGGGGGGGGGGCACAGGTACTAGGGGCCCCGGGCCGACCGGTTGGACAGAGGAGTAAAGGACCCTCGGCAGCCGATCGGGAGAAAATAAAAAAGAAAACACTTATAAAAGGGTAAACCTTGGCTTTAAAAGTAAAAGTCGCTTAAAATAATCATACGTGGTAACTAGTGACAACAGAATCTTGAGAGCATAAAATATTTGTTAGTTGATAATCCTATATGCGTATCTAGCGTTTCTAATACAATTAAAGCTCTAATTATGTATTCTACTTTTACCCGTAAGCGTCGCAAGTAATGAAAGGTCTTTTCTCTAATCAAAAATAAATAAAAATTATTTAAAAAACAGAATTTTTCAAGATAGGGATTCTCTAGCTCTAGCACTTTTGGTAATCGAAAATGATTTGGCGCGAAAAATTGACATTGGCCAAGCCATTACTTCTTTTTCTGAAAGGAAAGCTAGAATAAAGTGTCTTAACATTTTAGTTTTTGTTTATACATTTTTTAATACAGTTTACTTGTACAGTGTGTCTGATTAAGGACTCGTAGCGGCTGTATCTCAGAAACTATTGATCCTACGGCTTCGAAAAAAAAATTTATAACAAAAACGGTCAAGAGAAAATGCTGGAAATTATTTTGAACTTGCTATTTTAACCGTTAGAGGGCGTAATTCGTTATGGTAATTCAAAAAAATCACTTTTCCCCTATAAATGTCTAATAATAGTATGATAATAATAATCGAACGGTAATTTTGATTAAATTTTACAAAAGTTTTATTCAACATTTTTTGCTCTATTCAATAAAATAACAGGTAGGGGCGATTGTGAACCTTAATTTAATAAATGTATTATAACTACGGTGTCGTTTATCAGATTTTGAAAAACTTTATATCGATTAAAAGAAAATTGATCGTTTATTAAAATATTTCAAAATAGTTCTGATTCAGTTGTTTAAAAGAGCACTAGGTGGCGTTGTTTAAGCAGTAACCATTTTTTTGAAGTTTTCTTGAAAAATTTAAATGGAATGTTATAATTTTTATACGTTATTTAGAAAGAGAATTAAATTCTGACAAGAAACAAAAAAAACCGCGTCTTATTATCTTTTTCCTAACCGAATATAAGCAAAAGTCTATTAATGGTTAATAGTCCACTTAAATATTAATAAATAAAATTATTGATATTTTAATCTAGTTGGCTTTGAAACGTCAGTAATTTTTCGATAGCTTAACTGTAAAGCGATCAAGACAAAAAATATTAAAATCGGATTTAAATTAACTCTTTAGTGTAAGTTTAATAAAACTAATTGCGAAATAAAAATTGAATATATTAATAAAATACAACAAAACAAGTAACTAAACCCAGAACAAAATAGAGAATGCAATACAAGAATTAGAGGTAGTGCTCGAATTGTTTTCCATCTTTTTCAATGCAAATATCAAGTCTCTGTCTAGTTGAATTGACAGAAGCTTCTATTTCAGCCCTAGGAATATGATCAATTTCAGTTTGTATTCGTTGAATTAGATCTTCTCTACTTACAGGCTGAGTTTGGTAAACTAAATCTTTAAGTCGACCCCACAAATAAAAATCTAATACGATGAGGTCGGGAGATCTTGGTGGCCATGGAAATAGACTACCTCTTCCAATCCACCTATTCCAAAAATGTTGATTTAAAAAGTCTTTTACATTATTTGTATAATGTGCTGGGCAGCCATCCTGCTGTATCCACATATTATTATTACGGCGTACCTCTAGTGAAATATTTTCTAATAAAATAGGCAATTCGTCTCTCAGTAATCTTAAATATCGCTCACCATTTAAATTTTCATTAATAATAATAGGACCTATAATTTTACCGTCTAAAATTCCACACCACACATTTACTGACCACCGACCTTGATTAAAAACTTCTCGCATCCAATGAAGATTGTGGTCAGACCAGTAATGCATATTATGCCTGTTTATAGATCCATTACTGGAAAATGTAGATTCGTCGGACCACATTATATGTGATAAAAATTGTGGATCCTCATTAAGCATATTCTTAAGCAAATTACAATAATTCAGTCGTTTATCAAAATCTGTTAATTTCAGACCTTGATGAAGGGCTACATGGTATGGATGGAGACGATTTTGTTTTAAAATAGAACAAACGCAGTACCTAGTAAGTCCTAAGTCGGAAGCAATTTTCCGTATACTTATATGTGGATTTGCAGCAACGTATGCTAATATATTTATTTCGTTAATTTCCGTTCTGCTTCTTCTACGTCGTTGAATAGCTTTTTTAGGTTGAACACAGCCAGTTTCTTTTAAACGAATCGCCAGATTTTTAAATGTTTCTCTTGTTTGTAAAACTCGCTGAGGATATCTCAACGCATATTCTCTGGATGCAATCGGGGCGTTCTCAAAACATTCAAAATATACTTTTAACATGTCATAAGCTTCGGAATTACTGTAAGGCATGTCTTTTAACTTATTAAAATATAATTAATTTGACATTTAAGCTTACTAACATTTCAAAGCCAACTTGATTAATATATCAATAACTTTATTTATTAATATTTAAGTGGACTATTCACCCTTAATAGACTTTTGCTTATATTCGGTTAGGAAAAAGATAAAAAGACGCGGTTTTTTTGTTTCTTGTCAGAATTTAATTCTCTTTCTAAATAACGTATAAAAATTATAACATTCCATTTAAATTTTTCAAGAAAACTTCAAAAAAATGGTTACTGCTTATACAACGCCACCTAGTGCTCTTTTAAACAACTGAATCAGAACTATTTTGAAATATTTTACTAAACAATCAATTTGCTTTTAATCGATAAAAAGTTTTTTAAAATCTGATTAACGACACCGTAGTTATACTACATTTATTAAATTAAGGTTCCCAATCGCCCCTACCTGTTATTTTATTGAATAGAGCAAAAAGTGTTGAATAAAACTTTTGTAAAATTTAATCAAAATTACCGTTCGATTATTATTATCATACTATTATTAGACATTTATAGGGGAAAAGTGATTTTTTTTGAATTACCATAGCGAATTACGCCCTCTAACGGTTAAAATAGAAAGTTCAAAATAATTTCCAGCATTTTCTCTTGACCGTTTTTGTTATAAATTTTTTTTTTTTTTTTCGAAGCCGTAGGATCAATAGTTTCTGAGATACAGCCGCTACGAGTCCTTAATCAGATTTAAATTCCCAGATTTTTAAAATCCCACCCCATAGATAATCCGTTTATACCTGGAACTACAGCTAATTAAAAGTACAAAGGTAATTTAAGTTAGTTTTATCCAGATAACCTCATCACAAAACAACAATTATCACTATGTTAATTATTACTGGAATAACCAGAATATAAAAAAATATCTTCCAATAATTCTGCTACATGAATGTCCCATTTTCTAATATTTTTCTGGTAAGGGTTCAATAAAGTACCTTTTATGTATGTTTCTTTTACTTTGTAGGTAGGTACTTACTTTGACAACACTAGTTAAATGTTAAATTTGCACCGCGGATTCAGTTTAGTTGTGCCTGGAATTCAGTTTCGTTGTCTTGGGATGCAGTTTCGTTGTGCCTGGGATGCAGTTTCGTTGTTAAAAATTCTACCTGTCCGATTCGGGATGCAGTTTCGAATGTCCGGTTTTAATTATTGGGCCCTATGCTGAAAGTTGCGGGGGCGTCCTAAATTTGTAGTTACGCCACTGGCAAGCATTGGAGTGGTGTGTGGATTATCTAAGAGGAAACAAAAGTTAAAAGTAAATAATATTTTGTCAGAGGAAATTAACTATATCAGAAGTGTTCCGCAGGGAAGTATATTGGGTCCCCTGTTGTTTTTAGTGTATATCAATGACATTATTGATTTCAAGGGTCAACCTGACATTCACCTGTTTGCTGATGATGCCCTAATATATTTTTCTTGTAAGGATTCAGATAACTTGGTAAGAGTTGTTAATGAAACACTGCAACATGTTTATAAATGGTGTTGCAATAATTTGT